CATTCAGACTTTGTGACTTATCAGTCTGCAGTTTAGAAGGGCCTAGCCTGCATCTCTTGGACTATTATTCTGTCCAAATGTGCAAATCTGTTAATTCTTTCTCTTCTTCAGAGCAAGCAAGGTGACAAATGGTTCTGAATGCCAATACATTACAGAGAAGGGCATGCTAACTACAGCTGGGATAGTTAAAGCAGAACCTCTCTATCACATTTCATACCAGATCTAGTGGGCTTTGCATGCTTGAGTGCATGAATACTGAATACTGTAATTTTGCAGAAAAAGCAAAATCCACATGAAGCAGACCTGTCACTGTATAAAAGCCAAATCAGCAGCACAGTGATGTATCTTCTCATGTTCCCAGAAGAAAGTTTTCAACATATAAGTTCTAGCCACTCAGCAAGGTTAGTCTCAGTATCCCCTGAGCAAAACAAGACTAAAATACATCTTTCACAGCAAGTGTATTGCTCAGCAAAACTTCTCAGAACACCCTGTTTAATTTGAAGGATCAAATCAATAGTGAAAGGAAAAGAAATGGAGTTAACACTATACTGCTGTTTAAGGACTCATCTCAGGCTGTTGATTATTTTCTGAAGAATATTGTTATTTAGCTAAAGACAAATAGTACATTCCCATCAGGATCTCTATTGTATGTCTGTTATATGCCTTTCTCTGGAGGATGAAGATCTGGCTGCATATACTTAGTATTGAGAATTAGCTATTATTTACAATTGAATTAACACAGTGAATCCTTCTAAAGGAGTTTCTCACTAAGTACATTTGTTTGCCAAAGTCAAACTAGAGATGTCTGTATAAACACTCTTGTGACATTCCCAGAAAAATCAGGGCACCCAGAGAATTTAATGAATGTTACTACTGATAATTGGTAACAGTGCAGGCAGAACAGAATACTTTAGCTTTAACCACTAAGAATTCTAATACCAGCAGCCCAATCATAGTGTATTGATCACAAACCATGGAGATGAGTTGGTTTCTTCATCATTATCTGACTTCAGCAACTATGGTAGGAAAACAGCTAATATTCAGAAATAACTAAAACAGGCAATCAATAAGGTATTATTTATTACATCACCAGTGCTGATAAATTGTTATAATTCATAAAAAGTTGTGAAGTTTATTGATTTTCTAAGATACTGACTTAAAATTGAGCAATATTTTCAAATCACTGAGTTTACATGAAACTAGACTCATTATACCAAAGTGGGTTTTTTAGACAATTTAAGATACAACAACGTCAATACCTATTAAAGGCACAAATATATCTGGTCCAGAACATAAAGCTGCATGTGCTACTATATTAGTTGTTATGCATGAAGAGGACTTATTGTTCTACAGTAAGTAATGTACCTGTTTACAAGCCTATTCAATATATTCCTCTGAAACGTCATAAAAGCATGATAAACAATGGCCTAAAATTGAAAAACTCAGGTTTTCTAAGTGCAATAAAACTATACCTATTGATTCTCACAAAAGCTCTTTACAATTGTAGTACTAATTTGGCAAAGCAGAGAATACTTGCTCAAATGAAAACCCTGACATTTTAAATTTCCATGTAGCTCAACAGCTTGTTATTTCCAATAACAGCAAATTAGCATCTTGTCTACTTTTCCCAAAAGAAACACTTTATTCACTATAAAATTACGTTGTTCATTTAAATCTGCAGGGCAACAGAAAAAAAATACAAAAAAAAAACCAAACAAAAAAAATTAAGTGACAAAATAATTAACACTGGAAGTCATGCAAAATGCATATTTCTCCATACATATAAAATCCTTTCCTTTCAAACAGTACTGCAGGGTAGGAAAGAAAAGTTAATTATCACATAACTGTATGACAGGAATTTATTAGAAGCATTACTGCTGTATTTCAACACTGTAGGTAGTTTCCCTGACAGGAAAATCTCCTTCCCAGGAATTAGTTATAAATGTGCATCCACTTTTGATGTGCATGTAGCTTTGATTTTGAAAGTAGTGCAGCCTCCTTTCTTCTTCTGCAGGGTGTGTTGTGTTCCTCTTTAGAGGTCCTTGGTGTAGGAATAATGCTGGAGGAGCAAGAACTCCAAAGAGACGTACAGATCTCCCATCTGCCATCATGGTCTCACAGTGTGACCTAAGGAAGGTGTGTTTCAGGTCAAGAGTGAAAACTTTAGAGGTTTAGCTTTCCTGTGGATTTCTGTTAGCCTCAAGCTTTCCTTCTATGAATCAGGAAGAGGTGGAGAGGGAGAGACATGGCTGGGATGCTCATGAGATTCAGCAAGCTTCTGGGTTTGATCCTTCCATGCTTTTCACTGCACCTCAAAGCTCCCAAAATATTACACCAAAAGGGGAGAGGCAGCTTGGGGCTACAAAGCACATGGAGGGGATGCCAAAGTTCTTGTCTGGTACTCAAGCAAGAATGGGGTACGGTACAAATTCTCTGCAACTTGTTCTCCCTGGCTCTCATGCCAAAAATTGAAGGTTTCATCAACATAGATACTCTATCAGGTACAACACACCAAAGAATACAAAGGAAAAAAAAAAAAGGCAAGAGTATCACAGCCAAGAGTAAACAATAGAGATCACCTCTAGCTACCCCTTTAAGATATTTCAAATTGTTTTTTTTAATGAAGTGCTTACTGTAGTACTGAGAAATAAATTGTTCTGTTAGGTGGCATATGTCTTTATAGATTCTTATATGCCACAATTTGTCTCTCATCCAGAAGGCATCTTTCCAATGCCTTTTTTTGTTGTTTTCAATGTAAAAGAAAACAGCCTCTTACCATTTTTCACAAGCTTGCTTAAGTACCAAGCATATTAGTAATCTGAAATGCATCCAGGTATGGGTGACAGAAAATAAGGTACAAATGGATCCTAATTCATGCTTAGGTAGCTCCATATTTGGAAGGGAAAACAAGCTATGCAAAATTTCCTGAGGCAAGAAAGATAGGTTTTTAATACCAAAATAAATTCTTCTAGGAATAAAGAGAAAAATCTTTGAGTTCATCAGGTATTATAAATTGACTGAGAGATCCTCAGACTTTGTGGTCTATCACTGTATGTGGAGAGGGAAGAAAAAAATTTCTAGTAACTTTAATGACACTGGACATGTTTGGATCATAATAACTCTACATATTTATACCATCTGAACTGTGGCATCTTTTTTCCTTCAATTATTAAACCTTCAAATAAAGGATTTTTTTTATTATTTATACTTTGTTCCCTACAGGTAAATCTATTTTGATAAGGGGGTATAATATAAATCTGTCACAAAAGTGAAAAAATAAATATATATATCAATTGACAGAGATATTTTTTTTTTCCCAGAGATCATATTCAAAAAAAGCAAACAAAAACTGAATGGGTTTAAGTATCCATACTTACATTTCAAACATTGCCACAGGATCTCTAAAAATATGCTCTTTTCAATAAGTCCTGAGACTCTTTAAAATGAAAGAAACCACAAAGCCCAGCACTTCTGTGGGTTGGTAACAGGAAACAAGGCTTTAACCTAAGATAGCTCAGGGAATCAAGGACAATAAATTTTGAACATTACCTGTCATTTTCTGAAAAATCAGATCCAAAAGAACTAAAACACACCCCACATACATAAGATTGAAACAATACAAAACCCGTAGTCTTCCTCACCACCAGGCTCCTGTGGGCTCTCATTCCCTTGGCCAAGACCTAATTAAAGAGGTTGCTGTAAAATATTCACCATAGAAAAAACTGCTGCAGTATGGAAGGTACTGTGCTTCGAGGTGCTTGTTCACACACTCTGCAGGCAGAAAGGCACCAGCAACCACAGGAGTACCAGCAGCACAGAGCCCCCTGCACCTCCCCCAGGCCAAGGATGGAGAAACTGCCTGAAGCTCTGTAGCCTACAATGGAAGAAACTGAATCCTGATGAGTTTTTGAAAAACAAAATGGCAAGAAACACAATTTAAGGTATGACAACTAAAGAGCATAGTTTTTACTATCAAGGAAAAAAAATAGTAATTTCTGTGCTGGGTAAATCAAGCCTTTATTGCTAAACCATCTTAAATTAAAGCAGGTGGCAAACTGCTATACTCTGTAACCAATGAAAGCATAAAAATCAGTTTCACAAATTATTTCTTAGCATTCCAGTTGTAGCAAGCAGGAGATTCAGGGAAACTTATTTTAATTAAAAACTTTATTTTTCATTACAATTCACAGTTTATACATGGCAAGAACCCTTGCCATGTGGACATTCAGAACACTGTGCTGGGGAGACAAGGGTCTTTGTTATAAGAGCATTGCTCGGTGATGTGTCATGGAACTTTCTTAGTTTTAAAAGCGTACTCTCTGTAAATGTTAATTGACTGATATTTACACTGAATGTACATATTAACTTATATTTATTAGAAAACAAGCTAAGCATCCAAAAAACATGAACATTCATATCTTGCATGTTATCTAATGGTCAGAGATGCTGTAAGATTTGCCACTTGAATCATGCCCAATCAGCAAAGTCCCATTCTTTTTTTAATTTACAGAGCCTAAATTTTTCTTT